AGGAATTAGCCACGCAGCGGCTAACTATGCTGCTAACGCTACACAACAACAATGAGCCGTGGGCAGACCTGATGCAGTGAGGAGACGCTGTGCAACAGGCTTATGGAGTTAAAACAGTTCACAGTATACAGTGATGTTAATGGCAGCATCTTCAAACCATTTGCATTTTTAAAAGCCTGACACTGTTTGACACAGTTATTTCTATAACCCATGGACACTGACATCTGATATTTTGAAACGGAGAAAAGAGGTATAAAACCGTCCATAAACGGTGTGTCCATAAACAATATTGAAACCTCAGATTACTTTGACCAATTTCTCAAACTTCTTCTCTTCTGTTTCCTACACGATGATAAATTGCTAAACTGACATAATAGGGCTTCATAGTTTGGCTGTATATTTGAAACAAATGCTGTAATGATTGATTAGTTGACTAAAAGGGCCATTTATTTAAATATTATTACAAACATGGCCCAATTGATTCATTCTCTGATATGACCTATCGACAACTTTGTATAGTCCTCCGAGACGACTGCCGTTGTGATTTTGGGCTATGCAAAAATACACTGAATTGAAATGGAATTGATTTGAAACGTGGGGGAGGGGCATAAGTGCTGGTAAGGGGAGGGGCCAGGTGACAATAGGGGAAAATAACTCCGATATGCATCAATCACGCTGAAAATGGCTCTGTGTGCATAAATGACAAGGGAAAACAACTATACCACAAACAAACGAGAAAAGTACAAAGATTTTCCGGTCCCCTTTAATCCTCAGTCTGCAAATGTAAACATCGAACCTGTGATTGTTCATGTGTGCTGTGCCAAAACCTGGACTTTTGTGTTGGATGAGAGACGGCTGTCGGCAGCAACACAAGCGGGTCCAGGAATAGTTCCCCAAAAGAGTCTTCTGTCATCTACTCATCAGCCTCACAGCGAGTGGATCCCTCTGGTCTGGTCCCCCTCAGCGGGCTCAGGTGACCGGCCCAGAGCTCGGTTTTCTCGCAACTTTCCACTAGGGATGCGGGGGGCGGGTAAATATTCTTTTCAGTATTGTGATATTTTGGGCACGCAATTGAACCGGTACAGTAGAGCAAAGTATTGTGATGTTTTCTCTGAGTTTACTCTGGTAATTTTCATCTTATGTGTGCTTTTTGTGACTCTAGTCTATTGTATTTGATTAATGTAAGGGATGCTGGGAGCTCACCATTCATGAGAGAGGTCGTCTGTTCAGAGATTAAGGATGTCTGTCTGTAATAAGGTCTTGTGTTCTGAATGGATAAAGTTTTTGCACTTCAGTCCATGTGCAGACCATCATAAATGACATTTGTGTTGAGTATTATTATTTTCCTCAATTTTTGTAATGCCTTTGATTAGGGATTTGATTTCTCCTGCGATTCGATTATGGATATGCATTTGCCAAGTATCAATATCGATTTAAAAAAAAAAAAAAAAAGAAGAAAAAAAAAAATGGGTATCAATACTTAATTTATGGCTACATTACGCATCTCCATTCCATTTATCATGAAATAAAGTGTAGTTTTTATTTTATTTATGCCATAAATTGGCATATTGTATATTTCTGACCAATATATCAATAAACGTCATATCGTGATAAAATTGTTATCGTGATATCGTTATCGTGATAATATCGTTATCGTGAGCTTTGTATCGTATCGTATCGTGAGGTACCCTTAGGTTCCCACCCCTACCTTTGATTAATGTGAGGGACATGGATCTCAATATATGTAATCGAATCACATTACCTGCTGTATCCCAATAATGTTGAAATTTTGCTCAAATATTGCAATACTATCAAATGATCACATTTTTCTTAATTCCCGCCGTTAGTTGCCACATACAGGAGATCAGCAGAGATGAGTTTTACCTTCTTCAGGGAGGTTTTACTGGTCGTCCCACCTCTGGTTTTCTGCAGGGAGACTCTATTTTTCTGTCAACCCTCTCTTGTCTTTTGCTAAGTGTTATGCCGAGCCTCTGAGCACAATGATTGACAGTGAAATAACCATTTATAATCATATGCATTATGTTTACAATTTCAATTTTTCATTATAGAAGTGTAATTACTCCCCGCATGTACGTTTTTGTTCTTCAAAACCTTCTCACTTTTTGTGTTTCTATATATAGTTAATATCGATGTATGTTAATTAAATTATCTCAGTCCTAGACCGGTTCAGAGCAATCTCGTCTTAGAGCAAGGGCTAGTTCTTAACCATGTACTACAGATAAAACACCTGATGAATTCTTGGGGTGTGTTAAGATTACATAAGATTAGTGTTAAGTCATCTTATTCCCTGTCCCTACTGAAGAAAAGCAGCCTCTAGGCACGGGACATTCAAATTTGCGTTAGGAGAAAACTGGCTGGAACCCTCCCCCCGTGGAGAGTATTTTAAATCGGTGTGGTGACAGTCGGTACTTTATGATATTAAGGTGTTGTTTGGGTGTGCGTCTGCGGCCTAAGCCTGGCTGGATGTGTGGCAGTGGGACAGGAGGTGACTGGGTGAAAGCTGTACTCCCAGCTCTCCTCTGTGCTGTCTGGATTACCCATAGATAGAACCCCCCCTCCAGCCGGTGATCATGTGCCCGCCCTGAGTGGACCATAAACTCACACAGAGGGGCTTATGGTCAGGAGCACCCCCCTCCATGGAGCACAGCACAATACAATCTTCTTACACATGGGATTAACATGTTGTGTACGGGACATTCCTGGTGAACCTCCGGAACGCAGTGCTGTACAGTGTGGTTCGCTCTTGATGTTTTCCCAGACTAGAAATGTTGTATAAAAAGATATTTGGGTTACAAAGAGATCTACACCTCAGAGCGATGATTCTCTGACTGATGGCGCTTCTGTTGTTTGACCAATACACTTTTAAGAGTGATGGTAACCCATGGTTTGTTGTTAGGACAGCAACTAATTTCTCTGGCGGGCAACACAGGGGTTTATAGTATGTAAAACAAAATCTGTTAACCCTCTTAGGGCCCAATTCAATTTGAAAGACAAGAAAAATATGATATTTGGGGAACATGATCACATGGGGTAGTGATATACAATCCTGACTTTTTTTTTAGAGAGAGACCTTCACAGGCAATGCATTCTGGGATATTGCAGATTTGCAACATTGGCCTGCTGTGGTAAATAGAGCTGACACACTAATTGCCATGTATTGTATCTATATATATTAATGTTTCATTTTATGCAGTTTTGGTTTCAAATTATTAGAGGTTGGTGGTGATACTGACTTGAAGTTGATGAAAGGAGTGAAAGGAGACTTAACATTTGGAATTGAAACAGCTCCACCCCGTGATGAGCAGGTGGAAAAATATATTGCTAAAGCTCAACTAAGTCCAGCAGTGATACTTCTGAGTCAAAAATGGTCAAAAATATGGTTAAAGAGTAGTTGGATAATAAGAAATGAAGTTGTTGCAAATCTGCAACGCCTGCCTGGAAAGGGTTAACTCATCAGTGTTGTTTCTGTGCATCTCAAGATTCAACAGCAATGGGATTCCAGAATATAATTGCTTCTGGCGGTTACAGGGAACCCTTTAACTTGGGGCAGGTATGAAGCGGAGAAGTGTCATGGTCCGATCTGCAGAGAGGGGGCAGTGCAGTGCAGGTGTGCGTATCTTTACCATTTGTATTCAACAGGCCTAAGATCTTTTTGCCTCAAGTTGTACACTCAACTTACAGTGGTCCCTCATTTATCTTTGGGGGTACATAAAAAATATTGGATAGTTTATTGATCCCAGTTAGAGAAATTGAGGTTTCCAGCAGCAGAAACGCATCTGTTACTAACAATAACTATGCAACAGCACTTCAGGTCACAGCAGCAGAGGTGATGTAGCCGCTGGGTATGAGCTGCTTCCTATCCTCTGGTTGGTGTATCCAGAGTCTACTCGGTTCAGACCATTTTCTCTGCTCTGGTTTGGAGTGAAATTCTGAATCCTTTATTAGCATTTTTCAACAAAAGTTAGCATTTCTCCGGTAGATTTATTCTTGGTGTGCTTGGTTTGGACCATGTATTCTCTCTGCTCTGGTCTGGGTCAGTTTAAAACCATGAATACTGTACTGCAGTAACATTTACAGCTAAAAAACTGTTTCAGAGCTACTTAGGACTTGATGCCATTTCCAGCACATTCAAAAGAAGCAGTAACCCGCAATAAGTGAAATCTGAAAAGTAGCAGCTGTTTGTTTTAAGGCTATAAAATCCCTCACTCTCACTATACAATTTTCCAACCACCTGAACTCACAACTGTGCTATGGCGGAAAATCCAACCTGTTGGTTTTAGGTCTGAGCGCTGCTGCAGCTGTCAAAAGCTGTGTGTACACTATAAAATATAGCAATGGCTACAGGAAGACCGCCGTGGTACAACAACTGTCATTGTTATACTAGCGGTTACATGTTGGAGTATGTACACGGGGTGCATGAGAAACGCAGGGTGAAAAAACATGCAAAATTTAACATGAAAAATCCGAAAAACAGTGAGGCCGCAAATGGATTTATTGCATTTAGTCTTAAGATAGACATGATTAGATTTAGATAGAGTTTTTGATATTTCAGATTCATTTTATTTGCCATTTACTGTAAACTAATATTGGAATAAATGGGCAAAGTCCCCTGTGTGCACCAGACAAGTACATACATAAAGCAAACTCAAAGTACAGGAATAAAACAAGCTAAAAAGTACAGAAACTATTCACTGTGAAATCTAAGAACAATTAAAGTGCTTTGTTCAAACTGATAACAGCTTGTGGAAAGAAGCTGTTTGCAGAAGAAGATCTCCTGCATCTCAACGAACAATATCTTCAGCCAGAGGGAAGAAGCTGGAAGGCATCAGGGCACTTACAGGCCACGCTTTTGCACCCCTTTTCAAATCATTATCTTCACGACATACGTGTGGTACTTTGCTTTTTTGCTCGCCCCATGATCTTCACATAATCTGTGGTAATCCATGTGTTCTAAAACCAACCCTTATCCAGCTCCTACTTTACCCTCTTATTGCTGAGGTCAGAAAACAATTCCCCGCACAAATGCCGCTGTTCTGGTTGTCGAGTGACTTTGAAGAGGCGTGATAGATTGGCTGAGCTCCGGTGCCGCGGCGGTGGGCAGCATTGAAGGCCGGGCCCCCTCCCCTCCGGAGCCTCTCGATGATGTGAAGTGTGGGAGTGAAACCATGGCGACGCATTTCACCCGCTGGAGACGGCGTGTTCTGGGGAGGAGCGGACAAGCGTTTTCACAAAAAAACATCAAACAGTCACTCGCTCACACAGAGGGATGGGCTTTGACAATCAGGGCAAATGCAGAGAGATCGGATTATACATAGTTTTAGAACCAAATTTCCGAAGTAATAATCCCTAATCAGCCCTAATTTACACTGCTACATATGCTGAATTGTAATTTTAGAGACCATTAACTTAAATTATGCACAACTCATTTAATGGATGGTGCCTTGGATGGTGCCCTGGATGGTGCTGGATGGTGCCCTGGATTGTGCCTTGGATGGTATCTTGGATAGTGCTGGATGGTGCCTTGGATGCTGCCTTGGATGGTGCCCTGTAAGGTGCCTTGGATAGTGCCTTGGATGGTAGCCTGGATGGTGCCATGGATGGTGCCTTGGATGGTGGCCTGTAAGGTGCCTTGGATAGTGCCTTGGATGGTGCCATGGACGCTCTCTTAAAATCTACAATCGGTTGGATGCACAAAATGGAGCAGAGTTGAAAACACGGAAACGGAGAGTGTATGGATCCACTCATCAATCAATCAAAGAACCTTCATTTGTAGAGAACATTTCCTACACAAGGTTCCACACATCAGGCCTATATCATAAACATTAAACACACCACCATTATAATTATAACGTACCATAAATAACCAGAATGCATTAAAAGAGTAAGGCTACAGTCCTTCAGCTGTATGCGCACACAGTCACACAGAACTGTTCCAGATTTAAGCTGCATAAATCTGAGATGAACCATGGATGCATGAACCTCGATTGTAGAGTTAAAACACAGTGCGGAGGACACAAAACATACGCACAGAGACAGGTCGGAATTAAACATGCAGGAAAAGTTCACTGATTTCAAACTAATAACAGGAAAAGTTTTAATCACAGGAACCGTGTTGCTCCAATCAGTAATTCATTTATCAATCAATGTTTATTTGTAGAGCAGTTTTCCTACACAAGGTAACACAAGTTCACAGTTCACAGCTCCCCCATCATAAACACACACTAGATTAAAATCATAGAAAACCCCAGCATATTAAAAGGAGTAAATATAATCCTTTATTTGAAGGAAAACAGAACATGGAATTTAGCGCTATGTTCTGTCCCTGTCATCATGTGTACGGACAGCTGTCAGTCTCAAAAATGGGAATAGTTTTGCTGCTTTTACCTCTCTAAATAACTCACTCTAAAACAACTTCAATGGGAATCAAATTTTAACGCGGTCAAAGACACATTTGCATTTACAGAGAGTGTCTATTGTCAGTGAGACTCTGTGACCTCATGGTGCAGCGTTGGCCAGAACCGTCCCGTCTGATGACTCAGCCTGCGTAGAGTGGGCCGGTCCCAGCTCCTCAGCTTTATATCCGCCTCCGCTCTCCCCCAGCACAATGGCCCTTTTCTCACGAGGATGTGGCGAGGAATGCTGCAGAAACTGTCAGTCTCTGCACACGCTTCGACCTGACGATCAATTACCCAGTCAGCCGCTTCATACATTTGCAAAAATCTGCCCCACAGGACAAACGTGATTTTGTTTTTCCACATTTAATTTCTTTCAGGTTTTTGAGAAACCGTGATGTACATTTTGCAGTTGGTGCCAAAATTATTAGTGAAACAAAGGAAAACGCTGTACCTGCAGCTAACTGACGATTTAAAAACACGGATGCGGCATTTTACAGAGAATCTCACACATGCTCCCATTCTGTGATTTTCTTGTTTTGGGACAAAATACAAATTTAAAACGTTCAAGATTTCTTATTCAGAACAGCAACTAAAATACTTTCAGTGGTGTAGGATTTCCACAAACATGTTTTCTGAATCACAGTATTTCAACTACACATTTTCATGTTAGAAATTAATGATTGCGACACATACATAATGAACAACAGTGAATTCTTGTGGTCACTATTATTGTAGGCCTAGTTATTTATATATCTGATGAACGTTTGTATACTTTGACAGGTTTTCAACTATATGCATAAAGTTTTTAGTTTGAATTTTTGTTAGCAAAAAAATCACTCACAAGTAACCAACAACTTTGTAGTTAAAGTAAAATCACTCATGATTCTTTTGTATTCATACAGAGTTAATACTTTGTGGAACCCCTTTTGCTGCAAAAACTGCAGCAAGTCTTTTGGGGTCTGACTCTACTAGACTTCCACATCTACAGATAGAAAATGTAGCCCTTTCCTCTTTGCAAAACAATTCGAGCTCTATCAAATCAGATGGAGAGCGCCTTTCCAGTTTTCATATTGGATTTTGGTCTGGACATTGACTGGGCCGTTCTAACACATACATATGTTTTGTTTTAAACCATTCCATTGTAGATTTAGCTTTGAGTTTAGGGTCTTGAAAGGTGAATCTTCTCTGTCTCAGCAGGTTTTTCTCAAATGTCCCTGTATTTGGTTTGCGCCATACATAATGTTTTGTGTTTGGGCTAAAAGGTTCCATTTTTGTCTCATCTGACCAAAAAACCTTCTTCGACAAAAGCTTTCAGTTCTCTATGTGTGAAATAACAGAATCAAGTATCATTCTAACTTCACTTCACAGTTACTTATGTGTGAACTTTCAGGGAAAAATCAAAAACAAATCTTTATGTTTATGGTTGTAAAAATAACAAAATGTGCAAAATTTCAAGCTGCAATTCTTTTGAGAGGCACTATATTAAATTAGGTATATTTTTAAGCTAGTAGGCTGTAGTCTTATTTTCTAATAATTTAATAACAATGATAATAATAATGATAGCATGGACTACCAGAATTCTGAAATCATTCTGACGGCTCCCGTTAAAGGAATAGGCCACCGTTTTTACATACTGACATATGTTCTTACCTTACCTTAGACTAGTTGATATGTACCTGTGTGATCTTTGTCCATGCGCTCTGTCATGCAAACGGAGCACAAACGCAGCCTCTTCCACATACTGTATAGTAACAAATCAGCTCCCGTTAGAAGCTACCGCGCACTAACACCCAAAGACTTCACTCCTGCTCACTTCCGTCAATAGAAGCAGCGTGACTTGTTGGAGTTAGTGCGCGGACATAGCGCTTCTCGTATTATTACGCCTTACAATATAGTACCCGTTTTATCCGCTGAGAAAATCGACATGTTACATTTCTGTGTTACTATACTTTGTCACGTAACTGTATTTAAATAGGGAACACGTGGAAGAGTTTGGTAGCTTCTAACGGGAGCTGATTTGTTACTATACAGTCTGTGGAAGAGGCTGTGTTTGTGCTCCGTTTGCATGACAGAGAGCACGGACAAAGATCACACAGGTACATATCAACTAGTCTAAGGTAAGAACATATGTCACTATGTAAAAACTGTGGCCTATTCCTTTAAAAAGAATTCATTTCTGAAATAAACTTTTATTACAATCTAGGAATTGATACAGTGTTTATCCTTAATTGTCTGGTTAATATATCTGAAATACAACAAAACTAAATACTAACTACTCCAAGCTGAGATGGCTCTAAATCAGTCAAGGCTCGAGATCATTACATAAACATAATTACATAGAAATAAACTACACATCGAAGCAGAAAAAGTCACAAAGTTATGAAAACTACACACGTAAATAAGCAAACTTATTTACACACAAAACAAAAAGCTGTCAAATTGACTGCTCTAGGATTTATACAAATATTATGCAAATAATCAAATTAATTCACATAACACCAGTCAGTGAGGGTCCAGTCTTGTCCCCGGTCATCGGCTGGAGGGTTCAGTGATGTATGGCAGGCTGGCGAGGCGGGCCGTGGGCTGGGCGTTCTCCTGTCCCCTGGATCTCGGCCACAATGCTGGTCTGTCATGGCCCGTGTCCATTGTCCTGGTGGCTGTGGGACAGGCTGAGTCACACATACAGTAGATGCATAGTTCTATCTGTGGAGCCCAGTCTCCGGGCCGGACGCTCACGTGGCCTCATCGGAATGACGACATGACCACACTTTAGGCAGTCATGTAGCGACAACGTTGGGTTTTATTTACTTTTTTACCTGCGCAAACATTTATTTTATTTTTCAAGCAATTGTACTCTTGCTGATGGTTTTCACAGATTGTTCTACCCCTATGTTGTATTTATTTACTTGTTTGCTGCACACTGGGGACTTTTGTATTTTCCAATGTGGTTTTACTGCAAATGGCAAAAAAAAGAATCGGAATCTGCTTCCCAAGTGAATTATATAAAAAACAAAACTAAAAAACTTTCAACTACAGGACCACTGTTGACAATACAGATTCTGCTGAAACTGCTTTGATTGTCCTTTTGACTGCTCCCTGTTTTTTAAATCTTTACTCAAAGAAAAATAAAACTGGTCATAAAAATTGAAATACAGTTAAAAACGAAATATCCCATGCTATCTTCTGACAGTAAACTTTGTGTTACTCTGGTTACTAGCGCTTCCTATTCTATAAGATAATTCCATACAAAATGAATGACAAACATAAAATACATCAAGAAACAGAAAAAGCCACAACGTTACGAAGACTAAGAATGCACTCAATGATTGGCTCAATGATTAAAGATTATTCCTTACCAGTTTAGCGCTGAATTTTGTGACTAAATCAAAAACAAATGTTGGTATAAACTAGGGCTGGGCGATTAATCGATTTTAATCATTAATTCGAGTTTTATGTTTAGGGCGATTTCTTTTTTTAAAAATTCGATTTTTATTTTCTCCAGCGCAGAACTACAGCGCTAACGCGCTAACCGCGGGTCTATGGTGTTGAGCAGTCATTTTGAAGCTAACCTAATGCTAACAGTCTCCCTCTGGCCTGATGCTCGCTCTCACAGTTGGTGCTGTTGCAATAACACTTCAAACGTTCAAGAATCAGACTTTATTTAATCGCCAAAACACACACACACACGCACGCAGGCTCCGGTCGCTATGTTCGTACGCCATGTTCGTACGCCACATCTTTCACGCTCTCTCACGCTCGTTATTCCAAAGCGCACTCCCGTGTCCGTGGCGCGCACACACTCGTGTCCCACTGAGCCGCTGCACTTTGGGGAAAGACACGCCTCACACATTGCTCTCATTGCTCTGATACAAACAACGTGTTCCCCGCTGTGTTAGCTACAGTAGCTGCTACAGTAGCTGTTAGCTACAGTAGCTGCTAGCTACAGTAGCTGCTACAGTAGCTGTTAGCTACAGTAGCTGCTACAGTAGCTGTTAGCTACAGTAGCTGCTACAGTAGCTGTTAGCTACAGTAGCTGCTAGCTACAGTAGCTGCTACAGTAGCTGTTAGCTACAGTAGCTGCTACAGTAGCTGTTAGCTACAGCATCAGAATGTAAACAGGAAGCTCGCACAATGCGGGAGTCACTGAAGTTAGTATTAGCGCCACCAGCTGGACCGAGCGTTGTACTACAGCACAGTTACTCAGGCACAGTTGAAAGAACAAGCATGAAAACCCGAGGAGGCTTTTGGAAAAGACTGTCTGTTACAACATTTCTATTTTGAGTAATCAGTTTTAAAAATTTGATATTTCATGTAAAAAATGCATGTGTTTAATAGGATTGATATATTTGCGATGGGCCTTGTTTGTGTGATTTAAGTTATTTTGAAGGTGCATAGTGTCATTGTAAGTGAAGTTATTATAAAACTGTTAAGCTACATTTTCACTGTTTACAATGGCAGAGCCATCTCGTTTACAAGCATGTTTTAAGGCTTAATTCCTGTTACACTTATGCTCCATGGGGATTTAGATTGAACTGCATAAAGGAAAATCTATTTCTTTGTCAGTTGTAGTTTGTTTTTAAATAGAAAAAAATAAATCGATTAAAATCGAAAATCGGATTTGGTGTGAAAAAATCGGAGATTTTTTTTTTTTGCCATATCGCCCAGCCCTAGTATAAACTCATAAATAAAGTCAAAGACTGAATTCCCAGAGGTGAGAAGCATGTTGGAGCTAAAACACGATCAAGATTATATTTAAAAAACATTCAAAATAAAAGTGTTGCCACTTTGCCCTGAGGCAAACAGAGGGCAGACATAGCAGCAGCTCACAGTAGCGTGCATCACATGTTCTGCATCGTGTGCCCATGTGTCTTTACCTTAACCATCACCTCGACACGCAGGAGGTGTGAATGTGGCCTGACCCAGCTCACGCGGGAGGCAGAGGTGAGGCCAGGGGGAGATAGAGGGGAGGCCAGGGGGAGTGAGGCAGAGATGAGGCCAAGGGGAGGGATGCGGAGGTGAGGCAGAGGTGAGACCAGGGGGAGTGAGGCGGACGGGGGGTAGAGGGGAGTCCAGGGTGTGGGAAGCAGAGGTGAGGCAGAGGTGAGGCCAGGGGGAGGGGGTCTGGATGTATGATGTATGATGATTGAAATTAGCTTGAGGAGCAGCACTTAATATGTACTGTCTCACATTCAGGAAGACTGTCCCATATATTAACTGCATGAATCTGAAATGCTGCCTCTCCATGTGCCCAGAGTTTAGTTCTGACTCTGGGCATCAGCAGGAGTCAGTCCCTGTCGCAGTATTTGTACCGTAGTTCAGAAAGAGTATTTCTTTAACACCAAGTCGTGGAAGGGGCTGCTGCATTCCATTTTTTCTTTTCGAAATGCACTTTTAAGACTATTTATTTGATGTCAAGTGTGTTCAATTAGTGCACTTTCCTTAAACCGTCCCTTAACTACATTGACCAGTGTTTAAAAAGTAATATATCGGGCGAATGGACGGTTTTGTAAAGTCCTCTGAGATAACGACTGCTGTGATTTAGCGCTATACAAAAATAAATTGAATTTGAATATATTGTCAAGTGTAACCGTTGTCGCCCACACCACTGCACAGTAAGGCGGTGAGCTGGCGGCGGCTGCAGAGTGTGGGACTGAACCAGGATGTGACTTGATGAAGCTGATAGTGTGAAGCGACCGCAGCTCCTCTTCATCATGAGTCATCAGTGCTGTGTGCGGCGGCGCTCTACAGCGGGACACGGTGTCCTCACTAAAGCAAAATGGTGTTTTATTTTAACCGTGCAGCAACTGAGACTGCATCCAGATTCAACTATCCTTAATGCAAAAACTACTAGTACTACTACTAATAATGCATTGGTTTAAATGATGCATTCAAGTGCTTTTTTGGACCCTCAAAGATGCTTCACATGTCATTATTCATTATTTATATCTGCCCCTCAACAGCAGTTTGGCACTTTACAGCCGCAGCCGCCTCACTTTGGCACCTGGTGTTCCCAGAGGTCTCCCATCACAGTACTAACCAGGCCCTGCCCTGCATAACTTCAAAGATCGTACGAGATCTGACTTCCATGCAGTCATTGTGTGCTTAGGCAAGACACTTCACGCACATTGCCCTTGAATGAGTCTGGTGTGTGTGCCATCGGAGGGGCCGATGGCACACACTGGTTGCCTCGCTTCTTTCAGTGTGCCCCAGGGCAGCTGTGGCTACTGTTGTAGTTTATCACCACAGTGTATGGAGTGAATGAATAATGACATGTGATGCATTTTTCATTGTCCCAAAAAGCGCTATATGAAACTGATGTATTATTATTATTATGTATATTTGAGCATATGTACAATACAATACAATACAATTTATTCTTGTATAGCCCTAGGTCACAAGAGAAGTCATCTCAGAGGACTTAACAAAACCATTGAAATCACCAACACAGGTCAGAGAATCAACAGTTAAAACACATGAAGAATACAGTATAAAGCACACACAGAAGAAAATGTCCATACATGTTGTAGAATGCTAAAGTGTCCTGATCATCACCAATCCTTTCTGTTGGACACTAACTGTCCAACAAGACCCTCCTGCATCGACAAGGAAAAACTCTTAAAAAACCCAGTGGGAAAAAGTGAGAAACCTTGGGGAGCACTAGGGAAACCCACAGGGAGGGAGACCCATATGAGAAAGGGATCCGCTCCTCCGGACGGACAGACTAATGATCCAGGACCTAAGCTAGCTACAGAACGTGGACCAGTGGACGCTGAACGTGGACAGGTCCGGTGCAGGACTGAAGCACTCCCAGGCGGGTCGGGCGGGGCAGTCCGCAGGTGTAGATGGAAGAGGCCAGGCTCAGAGATCCCGTCATCGTACCATGAAACAGACAATGGGACAACGGGTGAATAGCAATGAACAAACTACAGTCAGAATCCTAAAAATGCTAAACAGATAAAGTAGGAAGGAGGAGAGGATAGTGCTCAAGTTACCATACTTCTCCCAGCAAACTGACTCCCTATGCAGCTTGACTAACACTCTGAGGAGTTTAACCTTCTCCGAGTCTTACCTTCCTAGCCATATGCTAAACTAAAGAGGACTGTTTTAAACCTAGCCTTGAATAAAGAATAACATACAGCATAATATATAACATAATATACAACATAACACAATACATTATTGAATAATATATAACATAATATATAACATAATACAGCATATATATATAATATATACACTACATATTATATATTACCTAATTATATGCTAAATTAAAGTAAAGTGCTTTAAGCCTGGCCTTGAATGTGGAGACCGTATCTGCTTCCTTAACATAAATGGGAAGCTGATTCCACAGTAAAGGCTTGGTAGCTAAATGCTCTGCCACCAACAGTGACCTTTGAGACCTTAGGGACCACCAGACGTCTGGCGTGTTGTGAGCGCAACGCTCGACCTGGTTGATACGACACTAACGTGTCTTGGAGATAAGAGGGAGCCAAGCCATTTATGGCTTTATATGTTAAGAGTAGGATTTTAAACTTTATTCTGTACTCCACAGGGAGCCAGTGGAGTGATTTTAACACCGGAGTTATGTGCTCCCTCCTTTTGGTACCTGTTAAGATCCTAGCTGCTGTATTCTGAACGAGCTGGAAGCTCTTCAAAGAGGCTTTAGGGCACGCTGCCAGTAAAGCGTTACAGTAGTCGAGCCTTGAGGTGACAAACGCGTGAATGAGTTTTTCCGCGTCACTTTTAGGAAGGAAATTCCTAATTTTAGCGATGTTCCGTAAGTGGAAGTACGCCGTTTTAGTTGCTTGGCTTATATAAGCCTTGAAGGAGAGTTCTTGGTCAAAAATGACTCCAAGATTCCTCACAGTGTTACTGGGTATTATACTGACATTATCGAGAGTAACCATCTGGTTAGTGAGGGAGTCACGCAGGCGCTTCGGACCGAGTAGGATCACTTCTGTCTTCTCCGGGTTGAGAAGTAGGAAGTTAAGAGTCATCCACATTTTAAGGTCCTTTATGCAGGCACTGAGCTTTTCTAGCTGATCTGTCTGATTAGGCTTCATCGACAGATAAAGCTGTGTGTCATCTGCATAGCAGTGGAAATTAATTCCATGCTTTTTAATAATGTTTCCCAGTGGCAGCATGTAGAGAGTACATGCTGCCACTGGGTCCTGATTCACATTGACGAAGTGATATCGATCTGATAAATAGGATTTACACCAGCCAAGGGCTGTTCCTCTAAGACCTATATCACATTCTAGCCTCTGCAGTAGAATGCTGTGGTCTATTGTGTCAAATGCAGCACTAAGGTCCAGTAGGACCAGCACTGACACTTGTCCATTATCGGCAGCTAGTAGTAAGTCATTTGTGACTTTGACTAGTGCCGTTTCAGTGCTATGATGAGCTCTGAATCCTGATTGAAAGACTTCAAACATATCATTTTCCTGCAGGTGGCAGCGGAGCTGCTCAGCTATAAGTTTTTCCAGGATTTTAGATATAAAAGTGAGGTTTGAGATCGGTCTGTAGTTTGTAAGTATTTCTGGGTCCAGGTTTGTTTTCTTCAGAAGGGGTTTGATTACCGCGGTTTTAAAAGCTTGTGGGACATAGCCACATTGTATGGATGCGTTTATTATATTTACGATAGGCTCAATTATCAAAGGAAGTATGTCTTTGAAGAGCCATGTCGGGACTGCGTCTAACATGCAAGTTGAGGCTTTTGAGGATGTGACCACAGAGATCACCTCTGCTTGGCTCACAGCCATGAATTTATTAAGGCCCACTGAAGAGTCTAAGTGGGAAGTCACGTATGCCGCTTCAACCTGTCCACCACTAACAGCAGGAGCAACCTCCTCCAGCTTGTCACGGATGGATGTAATTTTATTATTAAAGAAGTGGAGAAAGTCGACACTGCTCAGTGAGCTTGGAATTTTAGGCTCGATTGCGCTATGGCAGTTTGTGAGTTTAGCGACGGTACCAAACAAAAATCTACTGTTGTTTTTATTCGCTTCTATTAAAGTTGAATAGTATTGAGTTCGAGCCCCGCGAAGGGCCTTCTTGTAGTTTTGGAGACCTGCTTTCCACTCCCTGTGGACAGGCTCCGAGTGGGAGTGGCGATATAGCCTCTCCAATTTTCTGACGTCCTGTTTTAAAGTGTGGAGTTGAACACTGTACCAGGGCGACGATGATCTAATCCTAATGGTTTTCTGTTTTAAAGGAGCTGCTGCATTTAATGCAGATTTTAAAGACTCCATAGTGTTGCCCACCGTTTGGTCAATGACTGAGGGACTGCAGCTGCTGTGAACAGGTTCACCTGCAGCAGTATTCAACATAGGCTGTATTAGTTCTTTGAACCTTGTGATAGATTTATCATTTAAGGTTCTTTTCATTATGGTTTTATCTTGCGGGACAGGAAAGTCCTCCAAAGCGAGATCAAACGTGATCAAGAAATGGTCAGACAGCAACGAGCTTTGACGCTGGATGTCAACATTGGAGACATCACAGCCGTAGGTCAGGACAAGGTCCAAGGTGTGGTTATGAATGTGAGTAGGTCCCTCGACATTCTGAGTAAAACCAACACCATCTAGTACGGCGCTGAAAGCTTTGTTTAAGCTGTCAGTGCTGTCGTCCACATGTATATTGAAGTCTCCAGCTATAACTATGTTTTCCCATTCCAAAACTAGGTTTGAAATGAAGTCAGAGAATTCTGTTAGGAACTCGCTGTAAGGACCAGGAGGTCGGTATAAAACTATAAATAGTACTGCTTTTTGTTTTCTCCACCCAGGACAGGTGATTGAAAGTGTTAAGTTTTCAAACGAGTGAAAAGCGTTGTTGGTTTTGGGACTAAGAACCAAGTTGGTGTGTGATATAATCGCAACACCACCGCCGCGACCTGTAGCTCTGGCTTTCTGGTAGTTAACATGCGTCGGAGGAGTGCACTCATTCAATCTAACGTACTCGTCCTGTTGGAGCCAAGTCTCCGAGAGCGCTAACAGATCCAAGCCCTTGTCTATAATAAGTTCGTTTATGAGAAGCGATTTAGACGAGATTGATCTGACGTTCATTAAACCACATTTAACAACCCTACCGCTAGAACTATTTCTGTCTGTCTGAACTTTTATTAAGTTACTGTGTCTGACACCTAGGTCAGATTTCCTCGCATATAGTGCTTTAGACTTCAAGCGGGGAACACACACAGTTTCAATCTGACTAGGTTCTGAGGCTAGTAACTGAGCACACACAGGCACACACACACACACGCACACACAGTTTCAATCTGACTAGCCTCTGAGGCTAGTAACTGAACAGATGGGGGCTCAGAGGTTGTGGCAGAGCAGCTCTGCACCCGGGCCTCAGTTCTGCACCGTCATTTGAGCCGAGCAGAACAGTTTAGAGCCAGGGCCAAATTCTTAGCCAAAAGGGATGTACCCGCCAACGTTGGGTGGATATCATCCGAGCGGATGAGACCGGGCTTTCCCCAAAAGGCACTCCAATTGTCAACATGAACAACACCACTTCGAGGGCACCAGCCAGACAGCCAGCGGTTGAAAGCCGAGTGTCTGCTGAATGCTTCTGCACTGCTAGTGCTAGGTAGGGGCCCAGAGAAGATGACAGTGTCGGCCATTGTGCTAGCCAGCTTGCACACGGCGGCGACTTGCAGCTTCAACACCTCGGACTGTTTCCGCCGAACGTCATTACCACCCGCGTGAATAACAATTCGACGGAAACGCTGCTTGTGGGTCATCATGAGCCTCAGATTCCCTTCAATATCACCAAGCCTGGCCCCAGGGAAGCACCGAACAGTGGCTCCTGGGATCTTAACACCTCTAACAATAGAGGAGCCAATTACCAGCGCATCAGCGACTCCATCGGCTCTCTCAGCAGCTCTCTCAGCGGCTCTCTCAGTGGGGCCTTCTTCCCCGCCCGGCCGCGCGGGGGCGCAGCCGGACAGAGCGTCCCAGCGATTGTAAATGCTAACAGGAGGAGGCCCAATGGGGAAACTACCAACAACACGTCGCCCTCTCCGAACAGTCACAAAGCCATCACTATCCTGGTCTTGTCCCAGCTGCGGAGGACGGGCTGGGAGGCTAGGCTCGCTAGTTCTCCTCTGCCTTTCCCTAAAGCTGCGCTCCGCTGTCCCTGAGGATACGGCCTGGCTGTAGCTAATGCTAGCGCTAGCTCGAGACTCCAGTGCTCGGAGACGCAGCTCTAACTCACTGACCCTGGATTCCAGAGCTACGACTACACTACACTTCACACATCTATCACTACCCTCAGAGAAGGATCCAGGGTTTAGACTCGCCATATGGCAACTCGAGCAGTAAAGGATTGAGGGAGAGACAGCAGCCGCCATAGTAGCGAGTTAGCGGCTAGGCTAGGCTAAGCTAGGCTAGGCTAAGCTAGTACGGATCCGGGCCCGCACAACAGACTCCGAGACCAGACAAACAACCGCTACCTAAACCTCAGCTGCAGTACAGCTGACTCGGAGTGCTTACACAGTTAGCTTGGTGTACAATACGTGGATTTGTAATGTGTTTGTTAGTGCAAACAGAGAGCAGAGTGATAGCAGTCAAGAAACACGCTCACCGGATACAGGAAATCGCCTACTGTATTCTATCTGTACAGTAGGCGAACAAACGATGAATGCTCAAATTAGTAAAGAAATTAAATGGCGGCTGTAGATACCATGACGTCCTCCTGACCATGGTGTCCTCCTGACCATGGTGTCCTCCTGACCGTGGCGCCCGTCTGACCGTGGCCCAGTGCCCCTGCTCCACACAGCTGTTTGTGGTCCTAAATGTGATCTGTAATCTGCTTTAGCCTCACAGGAGAGAGCAGGATTTTGTCAGTTTGTCTGTCGGCCCGCGGTGTAAATACAGCACGATCAGATGTCCTTTTGTGGGCCGTCCAACGCAGCAGGACTAAGCCCAACAGATTAATGGAAATCAAAACGGATACAGACTCGCGTGAACAATTACTCCTGCATCCCGCACATTCCTCTGGCAGATGATTGTCTGCGACTTGGATAATCTGCTTTAATGTTTTCAGCTCCATTCACGTGATATGATAAATTGGTTGTTTTCATCTGTCTCGGTAACCATGGCATTTCATGTCAAACCACCACGATTCTCAGTGGCCCCAGAGCTGATTTTCACATATTATGATTCATTTGCTGCATTGATGATAATGAGACTTTAAAGTAGCTCTGTTTGTGAACAAGTCTTTCCAAGGCCTCGCACCAAAGCTCATCTGTGACATGTTAGTACCATATGAACCAACAGGACTCTGAGGAGCACAGGGACTGGCCATCTGCTGGTGCCCAAAGTCAGGGCTAAACATGAGGAGGCAGCATTTCAGATTTATGCAGCCAAAATCTGGACCAGTCTTCCTGAAAATGTGAGAAAGAAAATCCAGGATAAAAACAACTGAAGGATTGTATCTTCTTGTTTTGCTAAGCACCTGGAGTTGCCTCATGTATGAACTGTGCTAAACAAACAACAACAAATAAACTTGCCTTTTCTAATAGCAGCCTGTTGAATTTAATTGCATTGTACTTCAAACGGTTGTGCACCAAGAGGATGGTGCTGTCTGGGGCAGATGTGAGGAGGCAGGAGCGTGTGAACCAGAGGCTGAATGGTCCAGGGGGTGGTGAGCTCTGACCTCCAGGCCTGTGTGTGAGACCCCCCTGGGACTGCTCCTGCCCCTGGTCCTGCCCCTGCTCACCACCCTCCACCCACGCCCCTGCTGTCAGTGCCCCTGCTGCATATAAACACATCTAAAGGTACTCCAAACATATATTCTTTTGTCTGTTAAGAATTTTCAGCTAAAAGTGATGTTAAACAACGAATCTACTTAATTATTTGCCCATGACCTTTTCTATATTTTACAATATGTAGCCCTTCTACTCTACTCTACTCTACCTGGTTGTGTTACCTGGTCCCAGAGTCAGGACTGTTACCAGCACTAACATGTGATCCAAACCCGACCCCTTTACTCATGTTGGCTTTAATGTCAATTCAAAATGGCGCATTTCCAGGACAACAGTCCACGTCCCACCTGCGCGTCAGTCCACGGTCACCGAGGCGACGAGAGCTCCATTTGAGTGCGTGCCCTAAATAGCTCCTAAGACCTGTTAATCTGTGTCCTGCCCCGCGCCGCTCCACTCTGCTGCGCGCCGTGGGAGAGGAAGGGCCATGTGGATGTAGGCGTCCCGGGACAGAAGAGCACCCGTCCCAGGAACCCCACGCTCCTGCCCCAGACATGTTCTCCTACCTGCGGAGCCCACACTACATCGTGAGTACGGTCGGGGTCAGGGTTCTCGGTCAGACGCCGCAGCTGTATCTGGACACTAGTTTATGTTTTGAGCCATGGATGATTCAGCAGCAGCGGCGACAGACATTTTGGCTCAAATAAGTCTATACTAAAATAGAAGAAGCAAGAATTATGTAGTTATGTCTCTATCTCTAGAATAATTAAGAAGCTATATGCTGTATATTCTAGTGAAAGAAATACAGTATATAACCATAAAGGGGCAGGAGCAAACTCCATAAGTATCCACCCCCACTTGACATTTTGTGATGCTAGGAGCACAACATAAATATATTTAATTGATATTTCATATTAAAGACTCACACTTAAGAAACACAAACATTATTTCGAACTTTTGTAATTCGTGAAAAACTGAACAATATTTTTAATGTGAATAGTGTGGTCCACACAAACTCCATTTGAAAGAATGAAACAACTCAATATTCTTCACCAATTTAAAGCTTACAACTATTTTGAAATACACTCTTAATGTAATATCCACAGTATTTTCACATCATTAGACTCATGGGATATAAAGGTTAAACAAAGGCACGATGCAGCGCAAATGTTATGTCCCCTCTCAATTTTGACCTCAGTTTTTAAGGTAAACAAAATACCCAGATAATGTTGGTTAATCAGGTGACTCAAACATGACTCAATTTTGTCACCGGTAAAAAAGTAGTAATTTTAAGAATTGCAAGTTTGCTTAGTGCACTTGTACATAGTCATTTTAAGAAATGTTATGTCCATTTTTTTATTTTTAAATAAGCCTTATTCTGTTTTACTTATAACTTGTTTGCATCAATTTCCTAGTTTGTGACTTCTTGTTACTCAAAATGGCAATTAGGATAATTCTGATTCTGATAAGTGCAATAACTGTAGCCATTTGTCCGTCGTAACGTTCATCAGCTGAACTCGTTACAAAAGTCTGTTTAGAAATCAGTCACATTAGGAATCAACTGACTTATTGAACTTACTCAGTGTCATTATAAACTCTATAACTTTAATAATTCTAAACATGTTTCGGTTGTAACATTCATCAGTTGTAAACAAAAGTCAGTCATAAAAATGTGGCTAAGTCTGTAGAGATAGACACATGGGGCGCACTGTTAAAATGAAAGGCTTTTATGTGCTGAAAATACAGTGCACAAAACCATTGCACTTTTTATGGCTCTATAACCGTTTTAAAATAGATCAAAATCTGTCTAAAACATTTCGGGAAATGTGTTTATGTTCCCTCCACAATCATTTCCCTGTACGGAAGTCTTTGGGCTCATTTCTTTGATTCTTTTTAGATCCATATTGAGACTTGACATGTTCAGAATGTATAATTGTGATCTGCAGGTGCCTGAGATCCACCCGGTGCAGCTGACCACCAGCTTACCCCTCACTCTCTCACTCAGACCAGGGCTTCAGGCGTGTCATATTAACTGCTCACTTTTCTTACAAATAAACCGCAGACTCAGATCCTGGCTGCTCCTCTATTCTTCACTTTTCTCTCTGAAAAAGCTGATCTAGAGATATGACCGAGGCCAAACATACATGCATGTGACTACAAATAGTTCCTGGCTCTTTGTACGGTCTGTTCAATGAAATGTATTTCTGTATCGCCCCAAATCACTCCCGTACTCATCTCAGTGGACAAAACCGTCGAATTTGCCAACATTTTTGCCAATAAGTATGAAGATCTATGTTGCTTGAGTCTCTGTGTCCACACTGTTTAGTGCTGGTCAGAAGAGGCAGATGCTGAATTAGCTTGTTAAGCTGAGTGTGCTGCCCCCTGCAGGTCAAAGTCAGACCTCTGAAGCTAAGCGGGGCAAGGTTTGGTTAGTACTCGGATGGATGCCAGAGTGGGGCGGCTGCGGCCAAACTGTCGTTGTGTCCTTTGGCAAAACACTTCACCAACATTGCCTCGTATGTGTCAGGTGTGTGTGTGAATGGTTGGTGGTGGTGGGAGGGGCCGATGGCACATACTGCTTGCCTCACTTCTGTCAGTGGCAACTGTGGCTACTGTAGTAGTTTATCACCACTGTGTGTGGAGTGAAAGAATAATGTCATGTTGAGGCGTCTTTATGGTTTAAAAAGCACCGTATAAAACTGATGCATTTTTATTTATCTGAGTCACAAGGTCAAACACACAAGTATCGAGAAGCGATACTGCTTGTATAGCTGCAAGTACAGCTGCATGTACAGCAGCATACAGCTGCATGTGTCGTCATGACCCTGGTTATAATCTGGCACAGAGTTCAGTACGATATCATGTGGACTCACTGGTGTTAGTCTTTATTGGGTATGATCTTATTTTTTTGACTGTTCCTGTCCTGTCTTTGGACCTTTGTGTCTGAAATAATAATAATAATAAGGATGATAATAGAAATCATGATAATAATAGTGGTGATTATTCCTCTTTCGAGCCCAACATTGTTTAACGTTTATTGTTCATTGTGACATCACAGAGCTCTGTTGAGCTGCACATCTGCTGTATAATGTGTTATTATTGCAGTTCATGCACGATTCAGTCATGTATTAATGTATTAAAGGAACTGATTGCATATCAAAAGCAGGACTCTGGATAATCACAATTGTAGCCTGGGGTTCAATCTTCAGTCCCCTGCTGGGCCAAGGTCAGCCACACCACCTCCATTACCATATTTTTACCTTAGATTCCCACAATCACTAGTAATCACTAGTCCCCCAAGATAACTACTGTCCTGATTTTAAGGCTATACAGAAATAAATGTAATTGAATAGAATAACATATTTTATTATGAGTTTGTGAAGACCAAGTATTGTTCCAAAAAACTCCCCTAAGGTCGGCCAGAGTATGACCTCGATGCACTGGAGGGCGCTAGAGAATAACAGAACTGAAACATGTTAAATATCTGCCTACATCTATTTATGGAGAAAATACAATCAAGCTTCATTTAAAATGTATTCCCCTCATTTAACAAGGCACTAGAACGGACTAACCAGCAGGCCTGTCCAAGCTAAGGCCAGGGGACCGATTGCGGCCGCTGTGTCATTTTCTGTGGCCCTGTCCTTTGCTAGCACATACTTAGCCATTGCAATCATCAATGTATATTCAGCTGTAGTAATTGCTCATACTTATTTAAACTATTGTAAATGACAAGAGAAATCTACTGTAACGTGATCAGTGAGGATACAGTAGGCGCTGTTCTCTAGATTTCACCTGTGGTAGAACATGAGCATTAATACAGTGCATTATATACTTTAATAATTGGTCATTTTATTACCTTTTCATTGATTTAATTACTTATTTAAAAACTTGCACAACAAAATAGATATCCTTCATGCATGTACAGTGTGTGCTTATCCCCTCAGCATCCATCAAAAGACAAATCAATAGCACACACACACACACACAAACTACACCTCTCTCCTCCCTCACTCTGCGCCGAGATCTACTTTTCCAGCTCTAACCGTGATTTACCTCAGATTCATGTGGGGATGCAACCATTCAGAATATCACACTTGGTTCGATTCATGATCATGCGACTAAACATCAGCGGCCTTATTTAGAATTTAACACATGATCCTGAATTATTTATATTTTTATTTATGTCTTTTTAAGTAAATGTAGGTTTATACTCATGGGATATTTTGTGTTGTGTTTGTCGTAGTTATTATATGGACGTTTATTACAATTACAAAGGTAGTAGCTCTCTGCCTCTTCTCTTGTATAAAAGTAGCTCTCCGATTGTGAGAGGTTGGAGAACCCTGATCCAGTCCAGTGTTCAGGCTTTTCATGCTTTAATGCAACATGTGTGAACCCGTACATATCGGGAGCTACATATCCTGCCGTCATGAGCACCCCTGGTCTATCGTAAACATCATATATCAAGATATAAAAAGCATATTTATTTTTGTACTTGATTTCACCTAGTTACCATGGCGATGCCCTCTCCAGTGCCTAATTTACACAGCTCTATTTCTTTCCTCCTCCGAGAGGCTCCAGGAAACAGCGTTGCTCTGATTAGCCGGTCCCATCACGCTGTGGGCATTAGCAGGATTAGTCCCTGAGCGCGGGCTTACTGTGAGAGGGAGAAATATGTGCTGCCCTCCACCACCACCAGGGGGCACACCGGGGCACGTCGGGACACTCTGTCACATTTTGAGGATATCTGCGACTTAATTTACATGCACTTCCTTCACACATCACTTTAAGCACGTTATTCTGAAGCAACATTCAGAATCATCTGCCCACATATTCCCAGAATGCACTTTGTTTTGGTAAATTACAGGACTGTGCATTTCATTTCATTGCCCACCTTTTTTAAATGATGCAGCAGTTTCTCCAATAGAGAAACTGGAAAGTTAAATTTCAATGTAATACTTGGTCACTACAAAGCCCAGACTTTACACAAAATACTAATACATGGCATCCCAGCCACCTCTGGTCCGCTCTGTTCTATAGAGAGTTTTGACCAACCATTGCTTTCACTTCACAGTTGTCTCTTATGTGTGGTCTTTCAGTAAAAACATGAACATTATTATATTTGTTTGTGGTTGTAACATGAAACAATATGCATTAAGGAGGCTCTAAGGACAGTGGTGATGATCAGGACGCTTGACATTCAATAAGATGTATGGACTTAATCAACATTTATGGACATTGGTCATCCACCCCGCATGCCTCTGTGTGTATTCTCTGATCTGTGTTGGTAAATTTTACGGTTTTGTAAAGTCCTCCGTGTTGTGATTTTGGGCTGAATTTAAATTGAATTGAGGCTGTATTCATGCTTTTATAACTCACTGTATATTATGACTTAAATAATCACAACTATCTCATCATCTCCTGGTTCCACGTACATATGGACACAGCCCTGGTCTCTTGTACATATGGGGACAAGGCTGTGGTCTCTCCGGGTTTCACGTACATGTGGGGACATGGCTGTGGTCTCTCCTGGTCTCTCACACATATGGGGACAGGGCTCTGTGGTCTCTCCAGGTCTCTCACACATGGA